CCCCCCCCCCCCCCCCCCCAAAGCACCACTCCATGTGCACACGCGTTTCCATGTTCGCAGTGGTCGATGCATCTGCAGGGGGACAGGTGCACGGGTGCATGTACATATCTATATCAAGGAATGTTGCGAGAAGCCGGGGGAGCGTGGAGATGGCGCGCTCACCGGGCCTTGGTGGCACGGACGGCCGGGGGAGACGCCAGGCCGGCCTGACGCTGCTGCTCGGCATGCTCGCTGCGGAGCTGCACCGCGGCCATGTTGACGATGGCCGACGCGGCGAACATCAGCAAAAACCCGAAGACCAAGATGTCCACCGATCGGGCGATCCAGGACTTGCGCCCAAGGCTGGCCGAGCTGCGGAAGTGCGCCGCCGAGCGGAATTTCTTCTCCCACTGGGTGAGAGAGCCCTCGTGCAGGAAGGGCAGCCGGCGCTCCAGCCACTGGAGCACAGCCAGGAGGTAGCCCTGGCGGGAGATGGCCAGGGCGGTGAAAGAACACTGGGGCATCAGGAGATGAGAGAGGGGGGAGGGGGATAGATGAATAGAGGGCAAGGGGCCATGGGCACCGGTGGTGAGTATGTGTCCGGGCGGTGGGCCGGTGCGTGGCATGCGCGCCGTTCTGCCGGGGTTCGTGGGCGATCAGAGAACACGAAAAGGCCGCATGCGCACCTGGATGAGGACCTTAACACCGGCCTTGCCGATGAGTGTGGCGCCGAAGAACTCCCAAAAGGGCATTTCCAGGTAGCCCGACAGCAGCCCGGCCAGGTCGAAGAGCGGGTTGGGGATCTGTGCGTGTGTCATCACAAGTCCATGGCCGGAGTCAGTGGGCTGAGCCTACCAGGGGGGAGGAAGGGGCCGGAAGAAAGGGGAGAGAGAGAGAGAGAGAGGGAGGGAGAGCGCGCGATGGAGAAGGAGGGCCCGAAAGGGGGAGGAAGGGAAGAGGGCACACCGGCACGCACGGACGCCATGAGCATGATGCCGAAGAAGCCCCAGCGCTTCATCATTTGTGCCACAAGGATAGTCAACCGACTGCTCAGGGGTGCGGGAGGAGCCGGTGCCACAGGGTCCGTGGTCAGGGTGCTGGTGCCGGTCACAGGGTGGCCGGCGGCGGCCGGCGAAGCCTCTGGCCGCAAGCGGGGGCTGCCTTCATTCGAGTCGGTGGCAGCCGGCGACCGGGGCGCGTTGGTCAGCTTGCCGGTGGCCGCATCGAGCGAGACTCCGAACTCGGTCAGATCGAGTTCCTGGCCGGACCGGGCCGCGGCGCGTGCAAAGAAGTACGGCAGCAACTCGCCGATCGCCGTGCCAATGCCCCAGAAGATGGCCTCCGGCAGGAAGAACTGGAAGATGCTCAGGAGCGAGGGAACGTCCACCGACCGGGGGAGGGTCGGATCGCACGAGTAGCTGCTCCATCCATCGCCAGGAAAGTGCCATGTCAGTTGGGGCCGACCTTGCAGGAGGGCAACTCCCAATGGGCGCACGTACCTCCATTCGCGTAGGAGGGCATTTTTCTTGATGATGACAGTGGCCCCGGCGCACTCGGCCGACTCGACTTCCAGAATGGTGCTCACGATGTAGGGCCCAAGGTAAAGGAGGAAGGTGTGGGCTCCCTGCCGAGTGGGGGCCGGTGAGAAATGGTCGAGAGGGCGAAGAGGAGGGAATGCCGGCAAGAGTGTGGCCTGGGGCAGGTGATCGAGGGGGGCGTGGGAGCGGCACGCACAAATCCCATGCCAGCAGAAGACATGAAGCCGAGGACGATCCATCCGCCATACCAGACAAGAAGGTGACGGAGCAGCGAGATGGCCTGCATGGGGGTGTCCATGCGTATGTGGAGGCACGGGCCCGGCGAAGCAAGGGCCAAAGAGTGGGTAGGTGAGCCAGCGTGCGTGTGTGCGTGTGCGTGTGTGTGTGTGTGTGTGTGTGCGAGAAAAAGAGAGAGGCAGAGAGAGGCAGAGATAGAAAGGGGGAAAGGGCCAACATACATGCTGATGAGAGCCCTCAATGAGAGGAGTGCAGAGGACCGCCAGACCGGCGACCAGGAGGGCCAGCACGGTGCGCCGGCGGCGGCTGGCCGAGGTGCTGAGCTTCCGGCATCGGATAGCCACCAGCCTCCCGGCAAGACCCAGGGTGAAGAGTGGCCGCCGGAGGAGACTCAAGCTGGCGAGCTCGGCCTGGTGCTGGGCACGCAGGTCGACGACCAGTGGCGGTGGCAAGTGCGAGGACGGCGGCGGTGGCGCTGATCGCGACGACGACGACGACAGTGTGGAAGAGGGGGGCGTAGGAGCACCCCGGTGCCGGAGCAGGGTGACCGGCTCCTCGAGAGTCATGGGGCGCTCGAGAGGCGCTTCAGAGGGGGGAGTGGCGGGAGAAGAGGCGGTAGATGGGGCAGCGGGGGCGGCAGCAGAGGCTACAGCGGCACTGGCGGTGACTGCATCCGGCGGACGGTCGGTCGGGGGGCGGGGCATCTAGCCGGGAGGGGGGGCTCTGTGCATCAGGGGGGGGGGGGTGCAGGAAGAAAGTCTGGAGGCAGGGCGCTTCGGATAAACTGGGATGGGGATGATGACGGAGACGGGGGCAAGAGGAGCGAGAGGAGGGGAAGGTGCGTGAGAGGGAGAGGCGGGAGGGGGGGGGGGGGGCGGGGAGAAGGAGACGCACCGCCAGTCCCAATGGCCGCCAGGGTGGAAACCTGCTCCGGAAGCACGGCCTGCAGGGGGGGGGGGGGTGCAGGAAGACAGCGGCGTGCGAGGAACGCCCAGCAGCCCACATGCCGACTGACCGCCCCGATGGGGTCTCTCCTCTTCGGCGGGCAGCCTGCGCGGGCGCGTGTTCGTGGTCGTGTGCCAGTAAGTGTGCGAGCCTCCCCCCCACCGGGCGTCGGCCGCCACCCTGCTGCCAAGCCCCTTCCCCGGGGGATTACGGCGCCGGCGCTTCCGTCTCCCGGCCCCGCGCCTGGCGCCCCCTACTGCTCCTTCGTGGGCGGTGGCCACCCAGATGGCAGCGGGGCCGGCGGCGCGACTCCCCCGGGTACCGGGCGCCGGGCGGGGGGGGGGGGGCCTGCACCGGCGG